ATATGTTTTGTTTTATGTTTAGAAATATAGATACATTTGATATGTTAATTTATAATTGGGAACCAGTTAATGAATTGAAACACAGCTTAAAATTTTCATTCATACACTCCTTGAAAATATTCAATAATATAAATATTTCTACATTTTATATCATTTTTATGTTTTGAATTATAGTAGGAAATATAGATTAATTTTGCTTATTAAGATTTTTGCCAAAGTCTGCTTTTCCTGCATGTCCCCCCCTCTCCCCCCAAAATCCACATTTTATCCCCTGGAATAATACATTACATAATTACCTCATATTTTATGATTGATTCTGCCATATTGCTATTAAGAGAGAAAAAACTCAATGAAAAAAATTAGCTTTGCAAATAACCATCCTTTTATGTCGTACATGACCATGGTAACTGTATCTTGGTACCATTATTGTACCAGGTTCATTAACCCATCGACCAAGATAATTTACCATGGTATATGATCATGGTATGTATCTTGATCCATGAACCTTTGGTAATGGTACCCTAAGGTCATGGTATAGTGTGCATTATCATGGTAAGAGTTATGTCAGTCATGGTATATTATTAGTTTTATTCATGGGGTCCTATTCCATAGTTGATTATGCCCTGATATGGTATCTATCCTAATCATGGTATCTTGGTCACGGCACACTTTTCATGGTATAATACCAGGCAAAATACTTCAGTCATTGTCATGAAATATTGGGCATAATACATTGGTCATGATACACTTGTCATGGTATATTGGTCATGGTACACTTGTCATGGTATACTAGGTATGGTGCCTTGGTCATTGTAAGTACAGTGTCATGGTACATGTGTCATGGTATACTGGGCATGGTAAATGTTCATGATACCTTCTCAAAAGTATACTCTTGGTCATAGTACATTTGTCATGATACACAACATGTCATGGTATACTGAACATGATACCTTGGTCATGGTGTACTTGTCATGGCATGGAATACTGATCAGCATACAATGGGTCATGGTATATTGTCCATAGTTTGAATTAGTACACTTGCCATGGTTTGTACATGTCATGGTACACTGGCCATGGGCACTTGTCATGATGTCACAGAAGGTTAATATTAATAGGACCTCCTTGGTTGATGTACAATTATCATATAATGCAGTACCTAATATAGGCATACATTAATGCAATAATGATCAGCTATGATATGTTTATACATGCGCAAATCTTGTGACGCTCTGTTATAGTGGACATGTATGGTACTAGTGAAATGTGCATCTGGTACCTTGTTATACGTGCAAGTTATCGTGTAAGTGAAGTTTTGCTATTGATGATTGTCTTGCATGGCTGCGTAGTACACATGTATTTCATTTTAATAAACTAAGTTAAAAGTGCTGTTTCATTATCCACATTCTATAATTGGTGCTTATAATAATAAAATTTACAATTATGTAACTTCTAGTAAACGTGCTTAATTAAGTTGTAACATTGCATAAGAGATGTTTTATTTAATATCTAAGAAGCTAATATTCCTATCTTTTCCAGTACAAAACTGAAAAAACATCTTTTTTTTTTAGTAATGTCTATTTTCCTATTTTTAAAAAACAATTATTTATTAGATTGTTATTTATTATGTGAATTTCTTAAACTTAGTACTACTGTATTTCAAACGCTTGTTGTATATTTTACTCTTTATTATTGTGCTTTGTTTAACTTCTATGTACTTCTATACTGTATTGCTTATGTAAAGTAAATGTTGTATCTATTGTATTTGTGTCTGTTCTCATTAATTGCCTTTTTTGTACCGTATCTTCGAGTATTTTATGTCTGTTATGTGTTCCTTCAATCTGTCAATGATGTATTCAATCATTGTAACTTACTTTGTTCATGTGAGGGCGCATGGTGGTGAAGCGGTGCATTATTTTGCTGTGGGCCGTATGTAATCTGGTTTGAAACCTGGTTTGGAACCTGCCAATTCCAATCTCTGCTTGTGCCAGAGGGTAAAACATTTCAAATGCCTGGTTTTCAGAAACGAACGACATAAAGTCCTTCCTGTGTACAGAAAGTAAGTTTGTACGCTGTTTGGAAGAATAGTGGATTGTCTTTCGGTGTACGGTGTTAATAAAAGGAATTGTTATTTATATTTTAAATACATGTTTACCTAAATAATAATAATTATGATAATGATATAATAACATTTTTATTCTTAATAGCCTCTATATGCTCACATTTTAAAGAAAGTGGCATGATAAATACTGGTTGAAAGTCAAATATATTAAAATATAATATAATTCATTTGTAAAAATAAAATTATATATTGAATTAATCAAATGAAGTTATAGTTACAATGTGTAATATACACTAAATAATTGGGAAGAGATTTTTATTCAAAATATTAAGAAAAATTTGGGTAATGATTTATTTTAGATTTCAAATCATTATTAATATGTTTCAAATATCATATTTATTAATTTAATACATTAATCCTGGTTATATGCTGGACTTATAAAAACCTCAAATTGCATTTTGGTGGGAAATAACAAAAAAGACACCAATAAGGAATTATCTGTTATTTCTGTGTCACTGTAATTGTAGTATGTAACCTTTCTGTTTCTATTTCAATGTATTAATATGCCAAATAAAACTAATTGTTAGTCTCACATCCTGGATTTGAAATTATATTTGGGTGAGGGTATTTACTATTTGCTGTTACTAGTGGAAAACAGGCTGGTAAATAATATATATTAAGAATTAAATTAAATCTTTGTAATGTATTATGCCATAATATGTTTCCTCCTCTTTTAGTTTGTTTTTTAGTAAACTTTTTCACGAGTCCCCACAATTTTATGAGGGCAGGGATGTGAAACTAGCAATTAAATTTATTCAGCCTCATAAACTTTATCTTTTTATTTCCTGCTGTTGTGTTTCTTTTTATTTTGTTCTTTTGGCAAAGTGGCAAATTTAAAATTACTTGTTCATCTTTGCTCAATGGTTACTGACCTAGATGACTGACTTACTATTATTTTTGTGTAAAAAAAAACAAAAAGTAAACTATTTCAAAATATATTCAAGATGCATTCCCAGAATCAACTGTTTTCAGATTTGTGTAACATTCATGTTTGAACAATCGCCACTGTGCCTTAAGGAGAAAAATTCCTCCCATTTATAAATCTCATTGCTTCCTGTTTTATTTTTCTTAATTGTTTTTATTTTTCCAATTAAGTAATATTTATTATCAGTGAGATATGATTCAGTACTGATTTATAATTCTATTTTGCTTCATAAATGCTTTTTATGTTCTATTCAACAAAATATCTTCTTTTTTAACAAATAATTTACTTATATGCAGTATTAATTTACTGATATTTACAGTGCTTTGTATTATGTTTGTTTTAAATTATTTTATTGTTTCGGTTTTAGGTAAACAATATTTATACAGTATATTTATAATTGTATATTCTACTGTAAAAATAGTAGCATCTTCCCCTCCTACCCCCTTTCCTTTCAAATATTTGCAGTGGTACATGGCAGATTGATTTTTTGTATGGCAACCAACAGTCAGCATTGTCACGTCTCAGAGAGAGAATATTAAAATTGTGTGTTTGTGCTGAACCATGGAAGTCCTTACTTACTTTAGTCCCTGGTTGAGTACCATCCACTGCTCTTCCTTGTGCTTTAGCTGGAGGTCTTGATTGTAATAGCGCACTGTCTTTCAGATGAGATGTTTAATCTGTTTGGCCCTGTATACCATATATGGCCTGTGTTCACATTGAAAAAAAAATGCAGGACACTCTTCAAAAGGGTAGAGGATTGTCTCCTAGTGTTCAGCCCAGTTCATCACCACAAGGACCACACTAGAAATAAGTACTCAGACTTCTGTGGTTATAAGATAATTTTGATTCCTGATGATGGCATAATTAATGTCGAAATATTGAATCCTGACACGATGGCGTGCATTTCAATACTTGGAGCATGTATTATACTATCTTATCTGTGGGTTACCTTTAGTGTATTTAACACAGCAGAAATCCAATGGAAACATTTTTGTTAACATCTGATTAGAAAAATATTGCTATTATATAATTGTATACAGTATAATGCAGAATCTATCCCTAATCCTCCCCTGCCGATACCCATATAACTATCCTGTTCTTAACTCTCTTTTTTGTAGGATTTTAAAAGAATAATCAGTTCACTGCTATATTTTACATATACTAAACACTAATCTAGTTTATTTTTGGTTTTAATCAGTCATGCGTACTATTTAGATGATGTAAATATTTATTTTTACATTATATAATGCTGTTTTTATTATAATTTGCATAGCTTTTCTTCATACATGCCATTCTTGCCTTGATTACAGGTAATAAACAGGAAAGCTAGCAAGGAAGAGAAGGTATATAGGAAGAAAAACTCAAATATGTATCTATTAATATATATATCCATTTATATAGCATACTGTACTGTATGTAGCTAACAGCTTTCACTCACTGGATGTATATTCCATTAATTTTGTTTGTAACACACATAATTATTTTATCATACCATAAATCTGATTATGAATATAGTTCTTACTCAATTTTTGAATCATTGTTAACATTTTTCCTGTTAATCATATTTCTTTTCCAATTTCTTATCAGTTTACTTTAATACTCATCAAAAGATATTTCTTTCTGGTGTCTGTTTTGTACAATAATGTAGAAAATGAAATATTAATAATTTTAAATACATATATATAAAAATAAAACATTTTAATATATTTGCTATAATGGGTACATTTTATTATCAAATTATTGATAAAGCAAATTTTGTATAGCAGTTACCAAATTAATATAAAAACATAATATACTGTTTAATATCCTATAGTAAATTTTTTCTTGCAGTTTTTTGGTTTGATATTTTAAAGAAATTTTACACACATAATTATTGTTTGTGTACTAAATATCATCCAGTTCCAAATGACATCATCCTGATCCGTTTTCTTACACTTTGTTTTTATTTATTGTTAATATATTTCCCTTTAATTAGAGTTCTATAATGTTTTCCCTTTAATTAGAGTTCTATAATGTTTTTCCCATACATGATTTTGAGGATTAAGAACATTCCAATACATTTTACTTGTGTCTGTGTTTAGTTGTTTCCCACCTGCATGTAAATAAAATACTGATTTGCATGTAGTTTGGTGTTCCCATTTATTTTGTATAGACATGTGTTCAGTATGTGCTGAGAAAGATATGACTTATGCTTATGTATATAGTGTGAAGTTGAAAATGTAGTTATTGCACCACAAAATAATTCTAGATAGATTCTGATTTAGATACTTATTAAAAATATATTTTAGAGGTAGACAATTCAGAATGGCTCTTTTCTGAAGGTTCATGATGTAACTTGGTTAAAATACCCATATGGTGTAATCATTTATTTGACTGGTTAAGTATTTAATTTTCATATAATAAAAGACATAAACAAATTTTAAAATTAACTGTGTATGAATATTCATATAAAATTAGAATATTGATGAAAGTGTGCATGCATGGCAATTAAACAATGCAAATATTTACTGGGTTGAGGGGCATAGTTCAGAATATAACCCAACGTGATCTGGAGGCTGTACTTCGTCTCGGGTCAAGGGACATAGTAAAGCCTCCAGATCACCAAGGGCTATATTTTAAACTGTGACCCGATTAATACTCAGTAAATTTTTGTTTTATATACCTCGACATAGATTGTAGGCATTGGAGGGCATGGCTGGAACTATTGCCTGGCTTTTAACTAATCAAATGCTTGAAATCTATGTAGTCGGTATATAATAGTTAATATTGACTAATCCATCCATGTCGATAATTTTTAAAATATATATGAATATTCATAAGTACAGTCTAAGCAGGCTTATCAGCATGTGGTTGAGTGGTGTTTTTTTTTCCTCCATCTTTGTTAGTTAAAATAACTAGTGATTTCCACAGAGTGCCACGAGTCAGGATTGGGTAGATCATCACTGTCATGGTTGGCGAAACAAACCCAAAAGAAATCTGGTACCCAAAAAACTGAATTTGGAGGTCAAACCAAGGATGAATTGTCAAATATTTTTCTGCGCATTTTCAAAAGCCATAATGTCAAAGGTTCTGCGATTCCACTTCAAACTCGGAGAATCAAATGCACTATACTAATGATAACAATAGAAATTCATGTATGTGTAGTAGTATCAATCACTTCTTACTTCCAGCATAAGATGTTAATAATGTTGGCACAATTTTGATGTCTAAATGTGTCTTTGTATTTGTAATGAGTAACACAGAACCTATTTTTGCTGTTTCTGATTATGGCTTTGCACTTTTTCTCCTTTGCTGTCCTTTGTGGAGAATTCAAGAAAGTTCTAACCATGCTGTGAATGATATATTTTCATTCTGCTTTTTAGTGTGTGAGAAATAACACTCCCATCCTACCTTACTTATTTATGCATGCATTCAAATTGTGCATTTTCACTGTGCTCAATTAACTAAGACAGGTTTATGCAATTTTAAATCAGCTTAAAGATCATTCATTGTAACATTAATACCTTAAGTCAGGCACACACATTCAATGTTCTAGAATGATATAGAATTCTAGGACTGAAAAGATGAACCACATCCCATTGTCATCACCAAATTGTCCAATCTTGTTTCTTAATATTCACTAACTTATTTGCTAAACTTCAGGAGAGAAGAAAGTTAGAAGAAGAAGAAATCAGCGAACAGCTGACACGACGTGTCCAGAGGGAGGCACGACGACAACACAAACAACAACAGCAGAAACGCCTACGTATGGCTCAGGAGATACAGAGACAACTTCAGGAAGTGGAGGTCAAGAACCGTGAACTGGAAGAGAGGGGTGTAGAGGTCGAGAAAGCACTTAGAGGGGAGGGAGGTAATAAGAAATCAATTTAACATTAGAATAATGTATTAAATGTTTTTTACTTTTGACTTAACTTAATGAGTTTCTATTTTAGAAATGTTAATGGCTTTAGTTCATAATCACTTATTAGTTATGATACTCTAATGGTCCAGTTTTTTGTCGAAACTATAATTCCTATTCAGGAGCTTGTATTTCCGCATCACTGATTCCATAATGTTCCTAGACATTGGAGCAGTTTGCTGTAGCATTTGCCTTTGGTCTCCCAGCCCTAAGGGGAGGAGTGTGAACCAGGGGTTTAATTAGGTATCTAGTAGGTTCAGTTATCAATGTATTGATTACAAGCTTGAAAACGTAAAAGGAATATACCCCACGGAGCTACTGTAAATATGTGTTCTAGAGACATTTTGATAGTTTTCCCCCTTGTGCATTTTTATTGCACTAACATTTTTCAATACAATAAAGTAGGGTTAGTGTTACTATTTATTATTATTATTTTGATTTGATTCTTGATGGGCTTGCCACTTTTGAATACAATCATCAACATCATCCCTGGTCAGCCCACATTTAAAGTAATTTATATAATGTTAACTTATATGGATTATTTTTCATTATATTTTAAGATATCAAGGGTATGGATGAACATACCCTTATGCAACAGTGGTTCCAACTGATCAACGAAAAACATGCTCTTGTGAGGTTTGAGTCTGAACTCATGATACAGTAAGTCTCAGTAACTGCAGACAACATAATACTAGAGAATTTACTCCATAATATGCATACATCCGCCCTGTGCCTGAATAATAAATAAATACTAAACAATACACAGGCTGTGTATGATGAGCAATTCAGGTGACACCTTTTTTTGTCCAGAAGGTGTCCCCTTAATAAGGGTTCTAATGTATTATTCTGATTATTTTTCTACAAAATTCATTCATCATCAGGTCTTGTGGAATTCAAACAACCTATTGCCAAAGAAAATCTGTGAACACTCATTTCTTCCACCACAATAATTTTACCGTAAATTTATTATTAATAATAATAATAACACAGTAATAATAATAAGCTAAGTCTTATATTGCACATAATTCAAGAAAGTTGCCTCTATGCTCTATGCAACATGAAATATCCTAATACCACAAAGAAAACTGCATTAAAAGCAGAACCATTTGCCACTTCTCCATTCTCCAGCACTTTATAGCACCAAAAGTTAAGGGCAGTAATTTGACAATAATATGAATCTTGAATCTTGCAGTAAACGTGAGTTGGAGCTTGAAGATCGCCACAGTATGCTAGAGCAAGATTTAAGGCAAAGAATGGCAGTGGATGGTGAGTACATAACTTAAAAATGAGCCTAGATATCAATTATTTGTTGTTAATAAAATGTTTCCGAATATAAAAATCATAACAGGAATATTGCAATTATCAGTGGTAAATACAGGTTTATTATTATAGTGATATAGTTCTAAAGGCATAATAACAGCTTTTTGCCAATGGAATATTGCAATTATCGATGGTAAATGCAGGTTTATTATTATAGTGATATAGTTCCAAAGGCATAGTAACAGCTTTTTGCCAACGGGATATTGTAATCGAAAGCTTTGCCAATGCTTAATATGTTTTCTGAAATTAGTTATTATTATTATTATTATTATTATATATACAGAAGATGGTATTGCAAATATTAATTACATATATGAAAGCAAAAAAATTTCTTATAAATGAACTTATCTTGCATCATTCCATCATTACCCTTGCCCGTCTTGTGGTAACAATGTAGATTTTTAATTCACGCAAATTTTGTAAATCTTAAATAGATCTCATAAACTAGCTTTGTTACAAAAGTATATATATATTTGCTGGTAGATTAAGTGGAAAATTGTTATATAAGTTTGGAAAACTTAGTGGCCTCAATGGGGTATTTTAGAACATTATAGAAAAATAGACTGTCAGATATTTTAATTATCTTACTGATAATATGGATAATTATTAATAATGTTTTAACATAATCCTTAGTTCTAATTTAGAATAGTATTTGTAAAATCAAAATTTTTGAATTTTGTTATTGTGTCAACTCAGTGGCATGCTGTGTTTATCGATGCCATTTAAATATTGTATGTTTTTTTTCCTGTTTGTATATTCATAAATTTTCAATTCATGATACTATGTGATATTATTGTATGGCATGGGAAACTATCCCACAATTCCATGATATTCATATTCAAAATCATCTTTCCATATAGATATATTTCAAAAACCCATATTTACCAAATTCTGAAAAATGTACATACTATGTATAATAGGTCTAATATATATCATTATATAGACACATCAAAAACATAATTAACTTTGTGTAACTGTTTGGAAATACTATTTTTACATAAAAATGTGAATATACTTTACGAAAACATTCAATGAGATACATACTTGTCTTTATATATGCATAGACGAGGAAGAGGATTTAGATTTAACATTTGAGTTTCTTGACATTCCCAAAGCAGAGAGCGTGTTGAGTAAGTGCGCCATCAATGCTTGCCGCTAATCGCCTGTATGTCCGTTGAAGAGCAGATTTGGGAGCATGGAATTCCCCCCTCTGTTGTCACTTCGATATGATATGGCTATTCCCTTAAAAGGTTTGCAGCCACCTGCTGCTCAGCATGCGTTGACTTAATCCCATAACTAAATCACATCATATAATATTTATAAAGTAACTGCATTGCATGTGAATTATATATATATTTACACATACAGTATGCATATTTACTTGTGCGTGTTTATTTATGTAGATATGCTCTGTGCATGGAATATATTGGTTTGCTACCACCAAATTATTATTATTATTATTATTATTATTATTATTATTATTATTATTATATATAATAAAAGCATATACAGTAATTCTAAACACTAATAATATAAATAAGTAACTAACAATAATATTTATGTTATGAAGCATTTTACTGTTAATTTAAATTAATATATATGTTGATGCTGTTTATGATGCCACATGTCTTTTGTTTTGAATGCAAAATGTTTTTTTCTATATTTTAAAATATAAGTATTCTAAATTGTCTATGTAAATTTACATATGATTTGGAAAAAAAATGTGTAATATAAAAAGTAGTTGTGAAGTGTTATTTTAGCTTGTTAAACTTCTGAGAGAAAACTGAACTGAAATTAAAAGAATTAATTTCCATTGTTTTTTCCTCCATTTGAATTTCCTTTTATTAATGCTTTTTATGATTATAATTGTTATATTACTTTGTATCAATTAGTGATCCAGCTTTGTTTAATTATTTTATTTTTTTCATTAATGTTATGTGAGGGTGAGATGATCAGTGGGGTCTTTAAGTATGCAATAGAATAATATTTATCTTGGGGGTTCTCCTGGCGGCCCACAGACCATCTCCGGCCCGCAAGTGCTTGTTATGCGGCCCGCGAGAACAGTTCCAAAAATAATATTTTCCGTTAGGATTGGGCCTACGTTTTTAACTTTAATAATTTTGCATTTTGTTTTGCCAACTAGGCCTATATATTGCCCCACAAATTGTAGCGATTTAATCAATCAAATCGGAAAACTATCGCAGCAAACAGCAAAGAAATACTGTATTACCAGTGACTCATTGTGCGCTATATAACATTTTTACTTCTGCATTACCAAACACAAGGGTAACTTCCTTAGGTCAAGATGTCCTGTGTGAGCATCTAGCTGCATTATTTTTTAAAAGTTCTAATTTGGGAAGGAGGCCACCCCCTCCCACACCTGTGGCACTCGGATAGTGCTACGCGTCATAGTACACCTCTTGCCCTGGCCCTTCAAATTTATTCAATGAACAATTTTGGCCCCTAGTTAGACCTATGATTTTGACTAATAGTTTTATACACTCCCCCGAGACCAACTTTACAGTGTACATACAGTATCCCAAGTTGTTCTACCCTTGGGTTTCAGATAGTTTCGTCCAACGCTTCCTAAACTTTGTGTCATGACGAAAGTTTTTATTATATACTAGAGTAATATCCAGTTCTCTTTCTGAAAATGAAACTAATAACAAGAAGAAAAACAACACTGGAAATCCAAACACATTTGTTTCCTGTTTTGACTACTGCACAGATTCCAAAACTGTTCTTTCCCATGATTAAAAGCCTTCCCCACACATAAGCTAGTATATTTTATTCTGTTGGGTGGCTAAATAAATATTTATGTATCATTTTTTGGTTAAAGCCATGTTTTACTACAGATTGGTAGAGAATTATCCACATAAGGAAAATTTATATTAGTTCATATTTTTTTGTTTTGTTTGTTAATGCAATAATTTTCATTATTATTAAGTCCATATTAAGCACTGTACAAGTTCACTCAACCTATTACCATTATGTTGATCTTTAGCCCTACATTAGTAAACAAATATTACTATCAAACATCCTTTATTATTATTATTGTTATTATTTTGTTTTCAGGTTTGTTCTTTCTGTCTCGGTAAAATTTGATTATTTCTCAGTTGAAATAAATCCTAGATATTATATCTTCATTGCATTCATATTATTTTATTCAATGAAAAAACAATAAAAGCAAAAATGTTGTGCAGCAGCAATATATTGTAATAATCTGTTGCTTTACATCAATGTCATTCTATATAGCGCCCTCATACATTGTTCCTAAACCTGACTCTACCCATTTATTTTCATGTGTTCTATTGTTATTTTATTACTATTTTATATTATTGAAGATAAAGAACTTCATACTGTACTATATATTATTGATATTGTTGCTGTTATTGCTATTTCGTGTTATTTTATAAACTACTTACATATTTTGTTTGTTTGTTTTTTTTTGTTTTGTTTTTTTTTGGCTTTGAATTTATTTTATGTTATGTATAGTTAATCATTTTTTATTAATGTATAATATTTCATGACAATATTTATTGTATTCAATATATTAGATAACATAGGTTATTATTATTATTGTTTTATTTGAAATGAGTCATTTGAAAATTAGAGATTATGATTAGGAAATTCTTAATATTTTGTTAAATATTATTTAGTGTTTTATTGTTATTTTCTGTACATTTTGTCATCATTTTAATTTTATGTTTATTTACATTCTGTTATTATTTTGTTATTGTTATTTAGTATTTCTTATCTTGATGTTATGTACATTAGTTGTGTTTAAATATTATTATATCCTCATGTTATTTTACAAGTTATTTAATTTTCATCACTTGCATTCAAGTATATTATTACATCCCTGTCGTTATATAATTTTACAACTTTTCTTATCAGAAGACTTTTTAACATAATTTCTTCTAAAATTAGATTCAAGAAAATCCTCGGATGACAGAGCTCAAGAAAACCTCCTCCTTGAAGAAATGCTCGAAGTCATCGAACAAAGGGACGCGTTGGTGGCGCTTTTGGAAGAAGAAAGGCTCAGGTATAGTAATAAGATGCCAAACATTAACAGCATTTGCGTTGCTCTTTGCTGGAGCTTGTCTTACGAGTCTTAATTGTTTTGTATCGGCAACAATGCAGTATTGTAAAGTAGACCAATGATAGCCTTGTGCTGTATGACATATTCTTTGTTCTTTCACCTTTAATCGTAACTAGTTTAACATTAACTTTTCATATAACTGATTTTACACAATATAAATGTTATACAGGCTATTCCTACCTAGTTAGCCCAATTACCACACACACAAGATAGCATGCATACACAAGATAGCATGGGTATGTGCAGTTTGACCAACCCTTTGCTCTCTTACCTTTAATCGTACCGTAGAATTAACTTTTTATATAACTGATTCACACAAGAAAAATGTTACACATGATATTCCTACGTAGGTAAAAAGACTACTTAACTAAAAAGGCCTAAATAAGAGGGATACATTAAGTGTGGTTGAAGATCTGAATAATCATTTCGCCAGTGTATGTCAATGCTTTGATACAAATATGAATAAAATAAAATAAAATGCAAGATAGGATATACACATACAAGATAGCATTGAGTTTGATGAACCCTTTGCTCTTTTACCTTTAATAGTACCTAATTTAACATTAGCTTTTCATGTAACTGGATTCACACAAGAAAAATGTTACACAAGTTACTGTCATTTTTACACCATTGAATAAAAACCATGCTAAAGTCAGTTCAATTGATATGCCAACTTTGAACAGAGTGAAAGGTAGGGTCTTCCCAATTACCCCACACACAAGTCTTAAAGTAAAATCTCGAGAAGAAGCCCATTTCAAAAAGAATCCCCATCTTTAGTTTGCAAAAGTATTCTGCGAAATGTCCATCTCAAAAAGCAGCCCATGGGCTTCTATTCAAGACAGCATGGGCATCTTTTTTGGGATAGTACCAGACCTGCCAACTCACCCGATCCTGTCG